CAACGATTAAAGGGTTTTGCTAAACTCTGAGCTTTCTATTACCACCATCTCAACAGCTAAATCCCAACTTTCCTCTGCTTCATACCTGTGTCTTCAGCAAAGGGAGGTTTCCAGAAAAATATCAAGTAGAAACAACATCACGGTGCTCATCTGAGCACGTGAAGATCCATTTCCCTGTAACAGCAGATGTTGTTCCCCTGTGGCTAACTCACCTGTAGGCACCCCACAGCTTTATACATCAACTGCAGGCAGTGCTCCACTGGACATAGGCAGGCAAACATGAAAGGCAACCCTGCAACCCCACATAAGCTATGGGATTACTTGGAGGTACCATTAATGCCTTCCTGGAATGAACATGGAGATGCGGCACCGAACAGGAGCAAGAGATGTGCTAGGTCAGACAATGCAATATCACCCCTCAGATCACTGGCAGTAGAGCACATCCAGAAGATATGTGGAAATATAAAAGATGCTCCTGTCCGAAGGTCAGAAATGATGTTAATAACAATTGAGGTGCTTCTTTACAAACCCACTCTGGTCAGGTATTAATACAGGATTGCTGTTTCCAGGTAATGACTGCCTTGGGGTACCCAGCTAATGTGAACTGAGATACGATGAACAAGAAACAGCAGAGGACAGTCTGTTAGAGCCAGAGGGAACATAGGATCCAGGAGAGAGCATATTTGGCCAAGAAAACTGAGGAACAGGTAAGTTTAGAGGTGTGAAGTTACCAATCACAAGTTAACAACAAACAATGCGCTCAGAACACACAGGATTCCAGTAGTTTAAGATGGAAGGGAATCAGTCAGCTCATTCATGCTTTGAGAAAGGATTTCTTCCGCTCTTCACAGACTTTTTAATAATTTTTTACTTTAGGAGTGATGGCGAGAGCCATCAAAGAAGGTATTTGCTATGTTAACTCCACTTTACATACTAAGACCAAAATCAAGGTCTTCAAAACAACTCATTTGATTCTAAGACCTGAAAACCCTTAAAAGATCATGATCTAGAGGGACCCACCTTCTCAGTTTCTGTTTCTGGCCATGCCCAGAAGTGCCCAAATGTGCAATTCAACATCTAGCACCCAGCTAAGCCACCATCCACCACTGAACTAGAGCTGACCTAAAAATCCAGCATGCTGAAGCCACTGCTTTAGTGCTGCACCATGGATCCCAGGTCTTGTATGTTCCTTGCTTTCTCCAGCACACCAAACCAGGCATCTAAACCCCCTCTGTCAGATCATCCATCTCTTGTCCTTCGCTGTGTGTTTGGAATCATCCTCTTCCTCTCACACCAACTGTGGGCAGCTGAACTGCACCAGAAAGGGTTGAGTTCCTGGTGTCTCTCTCATCAGAGGTTTGGTGTGCTGGAACGCATGCTGAGAACGAATCCAGGAGACTCCATGGTCCTGTCACCTTCCCCAGGCACTTGGCTTCTTCTTGCTGGTAGATTCTGTCAGAGAAAGGAAGAAAAGCTAAAATCAGGAGAAGCTGCAAAAATTAGAGCACCAAGGGGAAGGAGAGGCATGTTTTCAATGTGATTGCAATGCTTCTTTCCTGGAAGGCTGCTAGAATAAACCCAAAGATCCCTTCGGATGCCTTGGCACCTACAGTGGCTGAGTTTGCAGTACCACGATCTTAGCACAATACAGAAGGACCTTTATACTGACATTGTAAAGGTGACAGGGCTTTTCTTGAGCAGCCAAACCTCCAGATTCTTCCACTTGTTTCACTTCTGGACATACTGAAACTGGTCTCCAAGAGTCAATATTGCCAAACTAGACAGCCTGATGTGATTGCAAAGACTCTCAGTAAATAGAACTGTCAGGCAGCAGCACAGGGAGATACCTGTAAGCGAAATCTTGGAGTTGTACTCGTTTGGACAAATCTCATAAATTACATTTAAAATTAATGTTTGCTGTAGAACTTACAAATATTTGTTCAGGGCAGCATGAAATATCCCCAGGATAATTTTAGTGTCTACGCATCAGATTCTCATTTCACAGCAGAGAAGACTGAAAGTGAGTCTGCTCATTTCACAGACAGCACAGACTTCATCCCTGTGAGGCAGGTCATACTCCTTGGTGAGCCATGCCTCCCATTTCAAGGCTTTGGGGATCTAGGCTGATACAACCAAAGACACAGCTGAAACCTGCCATTGCTCTTCCAGTCATTTCAGTAGGAGAAACTTGGAGCCGGGCATCGCTATTAGTCACATGTGAACAGGGTTAGAGACAGTAAGGACCTTCTACTCGCAGGATCTCACAGGATTTCCAAGTCAAAGCAAGTGGAGACATGCCTGGAAGACAGTCTATTCCCAAAAGGCAGGACAACATGAATTCCTCATGATGCTGTGACAGCCCATGATCAGAGCAGTTAAAGGTAACAATGGATGGAAGAAATCAAAAGGTGTGAGAGGATGATATCTGCCAGAGTCTATAGAGAGCTTTCTCTCAATTTTAGTGTGTTTGGGATCAAATCTTTAACAACGTCTTTCAAAACCTGTCTGTGGCCACACCAGCACAATGTTGGGCAGTTACTGGGGTGTGGATGGGCACTTTAGCATCTTTACTGCTTTTGCAATGCAGCCCTTCCCAGCACAACACTGAGATCTCTGCCCAACACACAATAGCAAAGTCTCTGGGATTTGGGGTCTTAGTTACTTTCCCCTGCTTGATTTTCAAAAAGGAGCAGCATTTTGTTGCTAGTTATTGGCTTGATTTATCAATCCTAGCAACAAGAAGCACAATATAAGAGCACCTTGTATTGTTCCCCAATATCTTATGGACAGGAACATCTCAGCCACTAAGACCTTGATGGTGGTCTCCAACCAGTCATTCAATTCAGATTCCAAAAGCTTTCCCCAGTTGGATTTCTGCAGTGGTCAGGATTTTTAAACCTCTTCCATGGGATGTCAGCCACCTGTAGTATCACCTGAGATATCTCACTTCACTCTCTCCTTTTGCTGCCTCTTTAACAGATTGACATTTTAATGACAGAAATTCCCTTGCTCAGTACTTTTAATCCTTATTTTGTTGGTGTGGCTCTAAAACATCCCCCATTAGAGGTACAAACCTATGTAACACTTTCATTTCTGCTTTTGCTAGTTAGACTTACAGGCTATTTGTGGCTCTAAAACGTCCCCCATTTAGAGGTACAAACCTATGTAACAATTTCAGTTCTGCTTTTGCTAGTTAGACTTACAGGCTATTTAATGGCAATTCAGGTACTCCATGGCTTACCTTAACCAGTAAGTTAAAAGTGGCTGTGAACATTCCCTGGCACTGGAACCAGAGAGACAGAGACACAGGACCACCTTAATCCATCCTGCTAAACTCATTGAACCTCCAGAAGAGATAGGTCACATCTTAAGGGTCTATTTGTAACAGCTCCTGTTCCATCTATGATGGGTCACAGGTCCTTGCAGCAGATGCAGGGACTGATGAAGAGGTAAGGTGCAGAGTGAACATCTGGTGGGTGTCCTCTCTTGGATGCATGATGGCCAGGAAACAAATTACCACTTATGAGAACAGCTCTTCACTAATTCAGTGCCCAAATACACTAAAATCCATAAGAACTGGGAATCAGGAAAGACAGAGGCATGAGGCAGGTGCATCCTGGTGATTAAATAGCATCAAGGAGTGCATTTATACCTAGAGTATCAGGAGATTCATTGGGCTGCCCAAGATACGACCTTGGACTTATGTTATAGGCATTGCTCTGCAATAAACCGATTTGTTGGCTGCTCCTAAAGCTCCTAATCTCCAGCTTATAAACTGGGCAGCTCCACTGCAGGCAATGCAGCTGTGATTGCTGAGGATGCTTTAGGAGCAAAAGCAACTTCTTTGACTTCTCCCCTTTCTTTATCCCATTCTGTTGATCATCCCCTAGATCTGCTACTCTGACAGAACAGCTCCCGTGAAAACAGTGTCTCTGTGCAATAACAAGGATTTTCAAGGAGAATCTCTGTTGGGTCTATTTGCAACACGCAACCTCTTTAGAGAGGTGATACTGCTTGTGATTTCCTTTTTAATTACATGGGGGGTTTGGATAATATTCTCATCTTTCTGCATCCAGAGATGTACTTCACAAGAAATTCATCAATGGGACATCTTCCCATCTGCCTGCTCCACTCTTGCCATGCATTGGCACCTCTTACCAGTAGAAACCCAGGCTGCCACTGCTTCGCCCTCCATCCATCCCACCCGCACACTTAGATAAACCTGAGCAGTGCACATTTCATTTAAATTTACAGCCTGTTTTGCCCACATCAGCACTTTTGGAGGGTTATTCTGCCTCTTCGGTGCTCCCATTAGCTTTGCCTCCTGCAAGGGTTAATGTTCACCTCCCTTTCCATCTAAAGAACAAGTTGCCTATCTCACCCCCACCGTGAGATTAAGTGCAATCACAGTCACCCTTCATCCTTACCTTGCAAAGTCTTGGCACACCAAGCCAGAAGCAAAGTCGGTGCATCCTGGGTTTCTAAGTGAAATTAAAAGCAAAAAATTGGGTTTCAAAGTGAAATTAAAAACAAAAAAATAAAAAAAAAATAAATTAAAAACCCCAAATCCAAACGAAAAAAAAACCCCAGACAACCCAACACCCAAAATCTCTGCCCCAGTAAAGTCTCTTGCAAAGAGGGTTTGTCTGTGGAAGCAAGGAACAAAGTTGTGGGGTGGAGGGGGAGGAGAGCGTGATTGACAGCCCTGAGCTGAGACTCATCCCTTACCTTGGGCCATGCGGTCTGATTGGCTGCCTGCTGACATCCCCAAGCCCTGCACTTTTTAATAGACGCTTTTGGATGATCTACAGGGGAAAGGCTTGGAGAGGTGTGTTTCTGACAAGGCAGAAAGTCACCCGCACTACCAGGGACTTGTTTAACTCTTGTATTCTGAACTGATTTATGATTTTTTTCCTGGGAGGACGGGGATTCTTCATTTCCACACTTCATGTTTTTCTGAAAACTTCGCTGAGATTCCTCCCTTGCACCAGCCTGGACTAATGGATTACCACCTGCTTGGACTAATTTTATCTTTTCTCTTCAATGGCACAAAGGTCTTAGCCGGTTACCCAATTTGGTGGTAAGATTCCTTCCCCCCTTCCCCCCCCCTTCCCTCTTTCTATGATTGATTAATGAATTAATGAATTATTAGCTATGGGATCTGTGTGGATGCGTGTTCCTTCCTTCCCACCCTTCGCCCTGCTGAGCTGGCCACAACTGCATGTTTGATTCTAAGCATAATTTCTTCCATAATTTGGCTGGTAATGACTGAAAAGTTTGGGGGTTATTTTGAAAGGGCAAGGTTTAGCTTTCCCTTTGCACAAATGGAGCCTTCCTCACCACTCTTTAATTTCTCCATTTTCGTCCCTATAGCAATAGGCATTTGGTTTGGATGTAAAAGGATGCGGGTTTATTTTCTTGTGCAATAGGAATTTTGGCTGTCGTATGGCTCTGTAGCAGGGATTTTCTTCCTTTCCATTAAATTGTGATCAATCCTTTAAAAAAGAAATCCCCATTAATTCTATATTCTTTTTGGCTGCTACAGTTTTTGGACTTCTGTTTCTTCTTTTGTTGTATTCTGTCATGTGAATTTAGTCTGGCAAATAAGCTGAGAACGCAAATGGCACCTGAAGAAAATATTCCTTAGTAAAATTCCTCAAAGATGGATTTTGTTCTTTTGAATGATGGAATTGTCACTTTGCTCCTTGCACCAACAATAAAAATCATGTTTAAAAGAATTGGTTACATCTTATAATGGGCTTGATGAGTAACCTGAGTTAGTTAATTTACAAATAAATGTAACACTCGATGCATAAATATAGGAACAAAATGTGAGCAGAAGCGCTTCCGAACAAAAAATCCAGAATCAAATATTTCAGGTCATTGAAACACAGCAGACAGGGAGTTGCATAACAGAAGATTTCAGTTAATTTCTCTCTTCCTCATGTAGGATTTCTCATTGGAATATATCTCATTAAGTTTCTGTATGTGCCAGGTAGGGGCTGTAGCCTAATGATCTATTATGGCAAAGAAAGAGGTTGATGCTGGAATATGAGAACTAAGATTCTTGGGTTATTTTCGCCTTTCCAGAAAAGTCTTTTTTATTATCACTGAATTATCACTGAATTAGATCCTTTTAGTGCCAACATGGAGATGGCAAGAAGTAGGTGGGAGTGAACTTGGGAATGGACTGCCATGTCTGGGAATATTTAGAAAGCAGAAGGGAAAAGCTGGATTTTTTTGTAATAATCTACTTATTACCGTGGACTTTGAGAATGAAAATGTGCAGTTCCAGTAGAGAAAGACTGGGAATACAATGAGAAGTCCATGCTCAGGAAACGTTTAAAAGCTACGCAGGTTCATGAAATGGCTAAATCACAGCAGGTTTTCCTGAAGAATTAAATGATTTCCTCGCCCTGAGTGTGGCTGCCTAACTTCAGGACCTGAGCCTGGGGCAGGGGAGCCCACTGAAATAGAGGCAGCATCACTTTGATTCCCTCCATCCCTTTTCTCCTTCATGTGGGGACCGGCATGTCTGAACGGGGGTGCGCGGTGGGTTGTAGAACAGGTCGAAATTGCATGGCTGGGTCTAAAGGCAAGAATCTGCATGGGGCAATGATACCTTGTTGTGACATCAGCTCTCCCAGGGTCTCACCAGCTCCTGACCTGCCTCAGGCTTTGATATAAAACAGGATTTAACGCCTGAATCAAGGAGGGTTTTGACTCATAGAGCGAGGAACCAAAATCTTCTCGACGAAAAGATTTGTTTTTCCCCATGAAGCAAAAATACCCCCATGATCAAAATGTCTCTCCCTGTTTGCAGGAGAAGATGCTGCAGACAGATGCCTGCCCCATGTCCTGGCCTTCTCCAAAATCCCCACAAGTTCACCCCAAATGAACAATACGGAGGACATGTAAGACAGAAACACCGGGGGCATGGCAAGCAGCATCCATGGGAAAGGAGGGAGTCAAACAAGCTGTCTGCAGAATTCCATTCAATATATCTGCATCATACATATTTTTTGGAGATTCTGGCAATGCCAAAGTGCCAGAGAGTCTCTGCTGCACTGAAAGGATGTGATGAGATGCCCCACTTAGGGCTGAGGGTCTATCACAGGGGTTTAGAGGGGTTTTGAAGGCTGAGGGAGAAGGGCAGAAATATCTGGGCCAGGGCTCCTCGACTGCTCAGGCAGAGACAATGCTTCCTACAGCACACAGAATAACCTATCTCCTTCAGTCCCACTGGAGGCTTTGAATACCTGCTCCGTGGAGCTGGCATCTTGTGTGCAGTGTGCTCTAGCACGATACATTCTCTTTAAAAAAGCATCCTTTTCCAGTTGTCTTCCTGATCCTCTGATCTATGGGAAGGCACAGAGCTGACTTTGGGGGATGAGTCCCACTTGCAGGGTTCAATATGCCCCAAAACAGGAGGAGGGAAGCAAAGATGGGGCAGAGCATCAGCCCGGTCCCCTGTGCTGGGCTCCTGCACCCCTCCAGACCAAGCTGGCCTAGAGATCATCAGTGCTTCCTTATCCTCAGCTAAACCCATCTCTGCTGCAAACAAGACCTTCAGGAAGACTGTTCATCTTGCAGGACCCCAGGACTGCTGACAGGTCGTGCCTGGTCCTGCTGGTGCAACCTTCCTGGGTATTTTTCTACTGTATAGGAAATATTTTGGCAGCAAAATCAAACCAGGTCATTTCTGCTTTGGGACAACTGGGAAAAACATTTATTCCTAATGTGATGAGGAAGCGTCTGAATGTGCACAAGAAAAAGAAGTGCAGTGAGAATGAGGCCTCATCACCTTGTAAATAGGTTTAGGGGTGGCTGAAATAATCCAGCTGCTGCACAGTGCAGTCAGACAATGCCAGGAAGCACGACATCAGTGACAGTAGAAGGGATAAAAGCACAAAGATGGAGCTGCTGAGGGTTTGCACTGAGCTGTATTTTTATTGAGGAGCCATGAGAAGATGATTGTATTATCTTGAGCGAGCACAACCCAACAGCAACCCTCCAGCTTGCACATTGTCATGGTGGAGGGTGAATCCTGCCCTTGGCCTCAGTGGTGAAACGTTACATGCAAGGCAGTGAGGCTCTTGGCACAGGGAGCAGTCCGGATGGATGGCATGAAAAGGGAAGAACTTTGTGGTGCAAACACAGACCTGCAGTGTCCAGGCTCGATGGTGACAGCAGGAAGGTGGAGCTACTGGGCTGCAAAGCCCATCAGTCCAGCCTGATGGATTGCTATCAACTCCCTGACATCCTGTCCCCATCCAAGTGGCATTTCCCCAGTCAATACCTGAGCAAGGTCCAGGGGTAGCATGGAGTGTAGATGTAACCTTCAGTGAGCAGGGCTGGTATTTTGCCATAGGTCCAGCCCTTCTTCATGTGCTTTCATCCTATTACAGCAGGGAAAAGGAACAAATGGGGCACAGATGGGAAAAGGTCACCCAAATGCTGCCTGTGAGAGTGCTGACAAGAGGAGCTGAAGCCAACAAAAGCTTTCTCAGATACGTGTCCAACACATGCGGTCTGGGTTGCTGCTGCTAAAAGAGAGGCAAAGAAGGAAGAGATGGAGGATGGTAGTGAGGTCATGGAGACCAGGGATGCTGCTCTTCCTGATCCTTCAGGAATGGCATGGATGGAAGCAAAGTGGGCAGTGGGGCCATGGCTGGTAGCCCAGCAGCATAGGCAGCAACCATGGGTCATGTCAACAGGCTTCTTAGATGCCAGCAGACGGGATGGCAGAGGCACTAATCACACCTGCAGTCATGTTTTTAATCCCAAGTACTCTAATGACAGCATGGATAACAGGACATGCCTGAGCCATTGCGGGTCCAGTATATAGATGGGCTGATGGATGAACCAGAGCTTTCTGGTAATGTCCTGAGAGAATTCAGATGAAAATATAGCCCATGGCCAGGCCAACAGAGATATTGTTTCCCAAGAAACAACTAGGAACCATTCCCAGGATGCCAATACATGGGCAGGGGCTGAAAAAGACAATCAGGGAGAAAACTCCACCCGTGAACTGAGAAGAAACACCAAATGCTTCCCTCTCCCATGAGCATCATTCACCAAGAAGTCTTGAAAACCTCTGGTGTGTCACTAGCCTGGAGAAAGAACCAGATTTGGAGTCACTGGTGTAAACAGGGAGTACAAAAATCAGCCCCAGTCCATCAAGACACAGTAGTAATAGGTCAGTGCCTATAACTGTGACTCTCACCAAGTGCATCTTCCCATCCAGCATTCAGTAGCCTCTAAGCAGATGAATTGGCAACTGAAAAAATGGCTTTTTCTGTCATGTTATTGAATCTTATTTCTACCCCTCAGAAATGCTTTCAGGGGAAGCTAAAGGCTTTGGCAGCTGGCTGAGGATCCCAGTGGCCTTGGGCCCCTAGAAAGAGGCAGATAGATACTTCAAAACGTGTTCTCACTGGCCCCATAGTTGCTTCCTCATTAAGAAAAACCTGTAAGTGAAAACCGTTTGCATGTAGATGTAGTCTGAGGTGATAAGCAACTTGTCTTCTTTAGCTCTCAGTGTCTCACCTTGCTGGAATGAACGGGAGCCTTCATTCTCTTGGCAGTCTTGGGGTGTTTTTCATTCTCCGAAGGTTCAAAACAAATCCTGGAGCCTGTGTTTTGTTATAGGCATGTGGCCCTTAAAGCTTTATTCAAAAGGAACAAAATAACATCAGGATATAAGAGTGGGTTTCCTCATGCCAATCCAGCTGCTGTAGCACTACAACGGAAGAAAAAGACCCCTTGTGTAAATTCCCTACAGCTTAAAATGCAGCCAGTTGTAGAAACTAAGGCAGTGGTGGGGTTTGTCAGTGACAGCGACAGCGCTTCACCATGTAAGCCCAGAGGTGCTGCTCTGGCTCCTGGGCTGGCGCACGGAGCTGAAGCACCTCCACCAGCAGCCTGCCCTGGCAGATGAACCTCTGCACGGGCAGAGCTGACGCACAACCCACACGTCACCTTCTGCTGACGCTGCTGCGGGGTGTTGACACCGCCGGCGGCTGTAGTCTGCTGCCCCGGCATGTGCCAAAGCTTGTCTGGAGCCACGCGGGGTTTGCA